TCATCTCTCCATATTGTCGGAAGTTTGACTTCTAAACTTCCTTCGATTATTATTGTTATTATAATTATTGTCATTATCATTAGTATTCTTATATTATACATACACATGCATCGCATATAGAAATATATTGTTGATGAGCTTATTTTCGTGTTTCAGAAGCTAGGTTGTTGTTTCGGGCTGACGTCGGTGACGTCGTTTTAAATTGTCCAGATACTACTAGTATCTACTAGTATACATATTATGTATACATGCATATGCATCTCGGCCATGACTTCATACCATGATGAGTCGGAATGTCTTGTAGACATGGTTCTGTGCAGCCTTGCGGCCAGAAAATCCACAGTCCGGAGACTGAAACACTCAGAAAGCTGAGGCATTTCCAAAGGCACCAAGAACTAACTGAGACTCTTGGGAACTCAGCCGGCTATGCATTTGATCACATTTAGCGCAGAAGCAAAGAACATAAGTTTCTCTGGATCTCTGGAAGCATGCATGAACGTTTAGTCCACCCAAGTGATGCTGGTGCCAACTGCCGATGTTCCACAGGTGCAGAAAGAGTATGAATAACATGAACTCTGCCGCATTCACAGGACGACTAGTGAGTAGTTGACTGTTGTCATTGCTGCAACGAGTTTTCCCCAACTGATAGCCCTTCGTTGGAAGGCTTGCGACCTCACTGATCGTGCCTTCAGAAAGTCCAGGGTGTAGAGCCGCTCGTGCCCTCCACTCGAATTACGTGCAGCCGTTTTTCTCTCAAGATACCAGGCGCATTGTTTTCAGCTTATCACCTTTCAACCTCCTGATGTGGGACCAAAGAAATGACAGCCGAATAAAAGAGTTTGTTATCGGTTGTTTTGGGACTAAATAACACTTCTAGCGATTTACAATTCCTTTCCTCTTGATTTTCAATTTGTCTCCTACCTGGGTCAAAAAGACACGTTTCATGTGCCGCAGCTGCTCACTGAATAGCGGATCGCAGCCATGTCAGCCAAATCCTAGGCCCCCGTGAATGTGCATTCTGGTTAGTAAATAGTTGATGAGCCATGTATAAATCCGGAATATCCTTTTTATAACTGAACTGTAACCACATATTAGCAAGTGAACAGTCATACTCGTTAGGATGCACATCTTCCGATAGCTGCTTTATGATGATCTTCCGAGGCAAAATTACCAGGTGTTTTCGATGTGTCATCAGGGAACTTCTAGAACTTGCCAATCAACCATTTGAAATGGAACCTCTCTTATATAATCTTATATAATATATATGAAATCAACATGCTGGCAATCTTCCTCTAGATCAAACTATCAGCTCAAAGTTCCATCTTCCTCTGTATATGTCAGTGATATAGTCTATCTCTCTGCAGTTTGTTGGGCCAAATCGGGCAAGGTAACTTAACATGATCCCTGACAACTTGCATGGGATTGAGACTTACGCTTGGCCATCTGAGGTTTACTATTGCGGAATTGTTTCACCAATACTCAATATTTTATATCAAATCATCAAAGAAGTGGATTTAGAAAAGTGGAAAATCATGGAACATCTACCTTTGGCACTAAACAAGTGGCCGGCAAAGAGATTCCATGAGATTCCAATTCCACTTTGAGTTTTCATCAGATTTGCAAAAGGTTTCACACATCTCTGGGGGAGCTTCAAATGGCTTGCAAACCCAGCGCCAAGGGGCTGATAAAGCTATATGGATTACCTCAGATCGGATGATCAACTCAGAGGAATTAACTCCGCGTTTTTCCAAGCTGAAAATTGACATGATTTTCGCCGATAGTTTCATCTTTCCATCTAAATTCAAGAAATCATTCTACATACTGATTGGCTTCTTGTTGTAAGTTCATGTTCCAAGCATGGGAAAATCTAGCTCATCCATAGGTTGATTGGTGGCCCAATAAAGCCACACAATTTTCGTATATATATATAGTGTATATATACATATATCATTATATATCTGAGAACCTCTCTCTCTCTATAGATCTATAATATAAAATCAAAATCATCAATATCATCAATCTCAAATATCAATCTCATATCATATACCCTCTGGTTATTTAACATAGCCATGGAAAATCACCATTTTTACTAGGTAAACCATCTATTTCTATGGGCCATCTATACCATGGCTATGTTAAATAACCAGAGGGTATCATTATCATTGATATCTCACCATCGAAAAAAATCTTCGCCGCGCCAGGTGGCAAGTCCTCGGAGTCGGAGTCGTCCAAGTCGTCCAAGTCGTCCAAGTCCCATAGGAGACCACCTAAACGGAGTGTCTCGGCTGTTTGGTCATCGTATAATTAATAGTTATTCATAGTAATAATATAAATATACAATAATATTATAATAGTAATACATATATAGTATTATATATATAGTAAATAGTATTATTCATAGTTATTAATAGTTAGTATGATAATACTATTTATAACACCCAAGTAACTTAAGCTATCATATATCTTTATATTATATATAGTACTAACTACTAACTAAATAATATATCATGGTTATAATGACTATATATAACTATCTATAAGTGTTAAAACTAATGATTCTAGTAGTATCAATTTAATTGTCATCATATGACAACCCCTCATAGGATGTTACTAGTGGTAACAGTTATATAGCTATTAGTCATGGATCATCATTGATCTATCTGTCGGGAGTAGTCAGAATGTGGTAATATAACACTTTATAAAACTATTAGATACTATTAGTAATATAATGTACTACGGGGCTTTGTTTTCAGTGTATACTTGCTGCTATTTTCAGTACTATTCCAGGTACTACTGCTTTTAGTGGTTGTACAACCCATGGATCACCATACCTGGGATTTCTGGGATTACATGGTACGTTGACTTGATTCCCATCATCCCGTTGGTCTGGTTGAACAATGCATGTTTGAAACCAGCCAGTGATGGTTAAATTCATTTCCCAAATTTTCATGGGTCACTATGGGTAACTCAACTTTGTTTATGCCTATAACATCCTATAACTGCCTTACAACTTTCTGGCTGGAGCTAGAGCACCGGCCTGCCGGGTCTCCACCAGCTTCCGGATGCCCTGGACCCCAGTAGAGCCTCGGAAAATGGGTGGATGCTCCAAGATTTTTCTGGATTTTTTGGGGTGGGATTTAGCCAGCAAAATCCAGCAAAGATGGGGACTCTTAAGTTCCAATTCAGCTTCTCAAAGACCAAGATTTCCCAACTGGAAACAACAACTTTTACATCTTATTTTGGTCCAAACACTCTGTAATACCCAAAGCACAATACTAGCAGAATCCAAGTCCCTGATTCACCTGGTGGAAACATATATATAGTCGCCCTGGATTGCTTTACCTCATCTTAGTTTCAAACAGAACAATCCCATCCCCTACATAATCTACATAACATTGTGAATATTATGACCATTCCCATGTGCCCGAAATGCCCGGGCTTCAAGATGCTTCAAGGATGGCATCGGGCAGGGATAGGATACATCTACCGAGCTTCGGGGGCCTTGACCGCCGACCGCGAGAATCTCTGTTGGCTTTTGGGATGTGAGCTGTCTGCATGCTGAATGTCATATGCACCAACCATTCACTAAGTTCAATTAAATTGGTGAAAATCTGATCATTCTCCCAGGCGACCCCATCACCAAATGTATGCAGTCGTCAAGTGGCGCGTCCGAATGCTGAATGTCGGAGTTGGGCCCCCAGTAGTGCCTCAGTTTTTGTCAACCCATGGGCTAGCCTACTGACTGGTTGGTAGCTTCTTTCTCCACTAGACCACAATGTTTTTTTTTTTTCCTCTCTCTCTCTCTCTATGCATGTATACGCTTATACATAGGTATAGAGACACATACATAGAAAGGGAGAGTCAGAGAATGAGAGAGAGAGAGAGAGAGACTGTTGTCACTGACATGGTCTCATTTGCCTCAGTCTGCAAACTCCAATCTCTCAACGACGGGAGATGACCAAGAAACTCATCTGAATGCGCCACGTCAGAATTCACGTTCCAAGCATCTGCTTGAAGCACAATCTTCGGGCGAACGCAGTATGCCTACCGGCTCAGAGTCTACCGGATCCAAATCATGGGGCGTGAGATAAGCTGGGTGCACCAGAAATACTGGAGCAGCGGGTCAGAATTTCTCAAGCCACCATTTCTATGGACACAACCTGCTTGAATTTGGAAGCTGCTTGCTGCACCTGTATGCAATGCCATGCTCAACCATCACTACACTATTGCACTACTTGCAAAAACATGCAAACACTCACTGCATGCACCTGTCAGTGCTAGCCTTTCTTCTCTGGCAAAGGGTTTGGCTGATTTGGCTGGATAGGGATGGAACCTATGCCACAGGTAGTCATCATAGGTTTACACATGTAGCACTCGAGATTCCAGTGAGACATTGTCCCATACTGATCCATACTGTGCAAGTGGGGTTCATCATCCCAAATGAGCCATGAACATATCAATCATATTATTATTAAATGTACCGTTCTTGGTGGGGTTTTATGGGAGAGTGTACTACCCCCACTGGGGATGATGATAACCAAGAGGGATAGCTATTGGAAAACCAGTTCCAATGGGATAGAGGCTAGGATTCCCATGAACCAAGCCTGCCTTGATATCATTTTCAGCACACATGCCCTTGGCACGAAAAAGGCGCTGGATCATCCACCCCTGGATTTCGGGTTGTTCCAGCATCTTTGTTGCTTGTCAGTGTTGCTGGTTACTTTCGGCTTGTCAAAGTTTCATAACACAAGTTCGCACACTCCTATCTTGTTGCAGCAAGTACCACTTCCAAGCTTAGTCAGCTGGTTGCCCTTTTGTTATGGGACCAATCTCAAGAATCGGATCCGACATGCAAAAAATGGACTACGTCAACCGAATACCACCCGACCGTGGGCACACCAGCCTCACAGCCAACCAACTTGGGTTCCAAAAAGCGATATCAACCCGCCGATTCTCCGCACAAAACGATCAAACTCTTTCAAACATGAAAAATCAACAAGAATTTCTTGATTCAACCCCCAAAAATTCCAAATAACTTCCAGTTTCACCCCAACATAATGTTGGGGTGAAACTGCATCTCAAACCAGTTCCGTTCTTTCTCCCATCCGCAGCGCCGAGGCTCCGCCATCCAATTGTCCACGGGTTCATTGACCGGCAGCTTGGACAACATCTTCCTTGCCCCCAAGGGCCAGACCTGTGGGAACTGATGGGCAATTGGGCAGTTGAGCTGGAACTAGGCAGAAAGTTGGCACTAGGCCAGGATACGAAAGGCGTTTTTGGATGTTTTTGCCTCTCCAAACATGTGACATGAAGGACTGAGTGACTGACATGTCCCAAGTTAGAAACAGCTGCTGAGTTTCAACATGTCTCAGATCCCAGCAATGTAGGCCACTGTCCTGGTGATCGGGGACCACTTGGATCAGGATACGATGGGTTTTTTCCCTCCGGTAACCTGGGAAATTTGTGGAAATTTGAAATTTCCCCAACTCACTGTAGGTTTAGTTTGCTGGAAAAAATCATCTATGATTTTTTTCTCCAGCAAGCCATTGTCGATTACCTGAGGGTATAATAGTATATAACAAAGCCATAGCAACCCTCAGGGTACGTTGAGACTATGGGAAGCATCCCAGCAATGATTAAAAAGGATACATGCATATATTATCATATATTGAGAAAAGTGGTGATTTGCCTTTCCAATGTTTCCATTCATAACTTCAAGATACCCCAAGGTTCCCCGGAGCAATGCCATCCCAGTTTTGCAGTTTTCGAAACGCCGCGACTCACCCACCACTGGGCCAAGTGTCGTCCACACATAGTGGGACTCCACGACATGTCGGGAGACTTCGCGGCGCCAGTCGGCTGCCTGTCACAAGCAGTTTTCAGCACTGGACATTTTTGCTTCTGGAGGGTCAGCTTGCTGTTCTTGCGCCTATCCACGCTACGGCAAATTTGGATGATGTAAGTAAGTTCCCGGATTCCCGGATGATGGAAGGGTATTTAGCGATTGCTTTGACAGAGACTTTGACTTTGGCTGGTCATCACCATACCATATTCACCATGTCAGCGCACGATCACGGGAGTCCAATCCCCCATTCCCATGCATCCCCTTGAATTGTGTAGATAGTCAACCACTTTGAGGATACATCATGATACATTCACTTGATTGTAGCCTCCGGTCACGGAACGCCATGGTATGGCCCATGGCTAGTTCGATGAATCCCTTTACATTTCACACGGTTTTTTTCGCGGCGCGCCTGAGAATAGCCCAGGTACAAAAGATCCGCGTCATCCTGGTAGGTCACATTCGGCTTCACCATCTCAAAATGCCAGGGAATCCCTGTACAGTTTCTATCGTTGAGGGAGCTTACAGTTCTTACACAAACAACTTTGAATAGAAGTCTTGACAAGCCTAGGCATGTGCATTTCACTTTACGAGCGCTACATGCTTTCTAGGGATTTCATACGGCATATGAGTATGTTACACCAACATATATGCCCACTAAACAAAAAACACATATATTTATATAACTATAATTATGTGTATATATATATGTATCAAATTGCATTGTGAGCTTCTGAGTTGCACAAATACAGAGCATCAAAGACAGGAGACAAGCCAAAAACAGTTGCTTCAACATTCTCGTGTAAACGAATTTGTATGCATGTCTATACCTTTGTGCACACATACACATACACATATGTATGTATATATGTATATATATTATATATTATGCATAATGTGTATATCTATCTATCATTATCTATCTATCTATCTATATATATATATCTATATCTAATTTAATATATGTACAGTATGTTCATATATCAATAGACTATAGACATAAATATGAATTCACCTCCCACTGTCAGGGGTCACCCCCACCGGCAAGGTCGCAAGGGCTTGCTCTAAAACCTCGCAAAACCTGGGCATCTGAGTCAATGGTATACCTCCGGTGAATTAACACAGATATAGCAACCCCCAAGAAAGATAGAAATGTAACATCCTATCAAAATTTAATGATATGTAACTTTTCGATCTTTTTGATCTTTTTGGGCCCTACGATATCCTAAATCCACGGGAAAGCCGTGGATTACCATATCTATCTCGATTTTCAAAGGGTAAATTAGGGGATATGATATGATGGCACTATTTCATGGGATAGCACCAACAAAAGTGTGGGTCAGTCCAAAAGCTATACTCCAAAATATGGGGATGGCTCGAACATCTGGATTCGAAAAATGGGATGGTTTTGCAACAGAAATTGCACGTTTTGTGTCTGTCAGTGTCCTCAGATGCTTCAACATGAATTGGGAGTTGACCAACAAAGATTAGTGTATCACCCAGAAAAAGTGGAGTTGCAATCAAGGAAAAGTGCAGATGTGCTGTATTACTGGGTTATAGGGTTTGCCAATCGGAATTGATTGGAGTTGGGGTGCCCATCTGGAAATAGTCGAGGGCGACTTTTTATGGTGGACTTGAACATCCCAACAACAAATCAAGAAAGAAATGCCTCCATAATCACCTGTGAATCCAGTTTTTGAAGATGGATTCCTGATGCCAAATTGATATGCAAACATATGCCGAAATGTGACCATTCCCGTGGACCTTTCAGGGTCGAAGTTGCATCCAGGTAACTCGGCAGTGGGAGCGGCATCATCTTCCAGCACCAAGAGGGGCTGATCGGTGCCTTTGGCTTGCCTCATGGGGATCCACGGTGATGGGGGAGTTCTGCCAGGGTCTATGTTAATTTACTGGAGGGTAACCCTCATAAGATGGGATATCAATTGGATATGACCTCCAAAGCCTAGAACCCCATCAATCAGAGTTCCACTGCGCCCCCGGGGATATGCACCAGGGATATGCAAATGTGGCGAGCCATCCGTGGTTCCCAGTGGGCCAGCAGTGATTGGGTCATCACGCAAGGAGTATCAAGGAGTCTGGAGGACCGTGTTTCAAACGGCCTTCGAAAAGAAGGCAAAAAAAAACGCACAAACAAACAGCCATCAAACATATCCAGTGTTTTCTGAGCTATATCATATAAATATCATCTCTTTGTTGGTGCATCCTCCCTGATTAGGAACTCCCAGCAAACCAAAGGCCTTACGCGTGAAATCAGCCGCCACACATCATCATAAATCATAAATCACCCAGATTCAGGCTCAAACATTGGACACCACTCAAGAATATCTGAAAAAATCTCAACTCACCTCTTGGAAACTATATACTATGATATGATAACATCATACTTTACATGAATATAATTCTCAATATATCCTAAAATATCACAGGATATTAATGTCAACCCTGGATTAGTAAACCCCTGGGCTGTTTAATTGGGAGGGTACCATTTAAGTATTAGATTATGACTATTCGAGTAGCACCCCCCTAATTAATAAACCATGGTTTATTAATCCGGGGTTGACATTAGACAAACTGAATGGTTAAATCATCCATAATCATCCCCTGTCTCCACGGCAAGCGGCTCCACGCAATAACGCCAGGCGCGGATGTGGCTGGAAGCACAGCCACGTTCCCCTGGGGACAGGTCCAGCTGCCGAACCTGGCCGAATCTCACGGGAAAACCATGGGTTTTTACCATGGGAAAAATGCCATGGTTTTCATATAGGACTTCCATGGGATTTGCAGCAGGATATTGGGTTTGGAGAAGATTTGGATTGTGAAAATAGATGAAACTAGGGGATGGTTAGTGAAAATAGGGGATGGTTTGATTCAATGGCTTTATCCAGATGAACGTCAACTTTTCTTGGGAGATATGGCTGATGATGGTGAATGCTATCATCAATGCCGCTGAACCAATTGTGATTCCCAATAGTTTGTTATCTGATGTTATCTGAACTATTTTGGTATTATTCCCAATTGTTAATGGATACTATGGGATGATTTAATCAAATGGGAATTTAAACAAATGGGAACACAAATGGATAACTAATAGTTCTTACTGTAGTGTCAATTATACCCACTCTATTCCCATTAGATTCCAAATCATATGGCCACTATATTCCGATTCTATAGCAGCTACTGTGGGGTTCACCCAATGCCATTTCATAGGATTTATAATAGTAGGATATTAATCGAGAGCATATGAATTGATAACAAGGTAATAGTGGAATACCAATGGATCATTATGGGATAGTGTAACTGGGATATTATGGTCTATTATTGGGTATACCAATATACCCCTACGACTGGCATGATGCAAAATGCCCCAAGTGATGTGCCACTGGGATGGTTCAGTAGTGGGTTTACCACATTAGACCCAGGAAACCTCATCTAGCTATGACGATTCATAATTTCAGAATGGAATATGCAATGCTCGGGGAGAAACAGCAGCTGAGGCTCCTATCCTTATAGCTGTCAACGGGTCACTTTTTTATCTTCGACGGAGCCCTGGGCCCAAGGTAGCCGAAGGTCGGCCAGTATCAGCCACTGCCAAAATGGTGCACAAACTCGGACCAACCACTGCTTGCGCGTAGAGATAGAGGAGTTGGATCTCATGATTTGTCAATGGGCACGCTCTCCATCTCTCCTATCTGGTTGTGTTATTTGTTGTTGAAGGACATTGAAGGAACTGAAGGAACGGGAAGTATATGCCAAAACACATGGATGAGATTTAATGAGATGACCTGAGGGTCAAATGGTTCTGATGTGAAATGCAAAGAAGGTATGGAGGATGGCTGGAGACATTGCCCTTGTGTGCCCGTCAGTTTCATACGTGATCCTGGCCAGTAGTCAAACATGGCAATAGAAAATCACCGTTTTTGACTGGACACGACGACAAATGGGAATATGTATCAAATAGATAGAGTAGATTTTCGGTAGCCACGTGGAATTGCGCAATGGATTTGGGCATTGCAAGGAATGTGGGAGAAGCTTGCCCAACCATTCTCCACTTCAACAGTTGTGTTTCTGGTCAAGAAGCACCCACCATTTCGGCGATTTTGACTGTCATCTAGAAGTGCGCCGCATGCAGCCTGGAAGTTTGCCTCCACCATAGGGTATGTCTATCTCTATAGATGCATAAATTATATAGATATGTATACATGATATATTAATATCATATCCATGCCTTCAACAGCTCAGGTGGTCTGGGGGAAACGTCAATATGCTCTTCTAGGCTGCGTTCTGGGCAGGTCCTCGCAGGTATGCCTCGAAATCGGGGCCCACATCACAAGCATGCTGTTTCCTTAGCAGTGGGGTGCCCCAAGTATCAATGTTAGCATGTCTTGGCAGGGGAACTGATCAGGCCTTTTGAGGGGTGAAAGACTTTGAGGCATACTACTACCGTACTTCGTGATGGGCTAGGTGATTTTACACCATGGGCGCAGCTCTTTGATGTGTTTTGGTGCTTCGGTTCCCCCCTCGAAACGCGAAGGGAGATCGGCTTCCCAAAACCTGTTGAGCCGGAAGTCAAGTTTGACCATGTTTCATCTGGATAGATGCCATAGCATCAACTCATATCAAACCCATCTCAGACCTCCAAAGCACATCAAATCAGCTGCGAATGGGATCTATGATTTGCTAGGACTTGTGCCAGCGAGGTTGCCTCGCGCCACCTGTGAGACAGGCTGATGGCTGATATACATGCTGTCAGGCGCATGCCTTGAGAAACCATGGGTTTTCTTATAAGTTTTCTTTCAATAGGCATGGGGATCATTCATACTCATTCCTCATCGTCCCTTAGTTCAATCAGCCACAGGAACGCATAGTAGCTAAGATATGCTTTCTCTCAAAATCAGCGTCACTGGTCGGATGAAATCCTGCGCCGCTCTGGCATCGAAACGTCATGGTGATGGCAAGGCCAGTCCTGGTGGCTGTCAGATTTTCCAGTTGGTGGGTTCAATATGGAGTCGATGATTGGGCAATTGCCAATATTACGAATCGAAACTCAGCATTTCGGGAACTTCCAAGGCTTCCAAGGATCCAATCATCGAGCCGTCAGGGGCATCATCATCACTCCACCACTGCCGTTGGGAACAAAGGTGGGGTCCACCTGGAGTGTCACTGAAAGACCGGGAAATCCCATGCCAAAATAGGCAGCCAGAGCTTGGCATACCGCCTGCCATCCGCCCTTTCCATTTTGCTACTGAACATGAGGTTGACCGCTCTTTTTCCATCAAACCACCTAGTTGGAAAAGGACATCTGCGGAAATTACATGAGTTTCGCGCTTTTTTTCTGAATTTCGATTCATTCCTGAATATCTTTTTACAAGAAAGGCACAAGTCCTCCCAGTTCCATGGTGCTTACTATACTGGTTGGTGTACCCCCTTTGAAATTATCAGTCATTGGGGGATCATCATCCAATTTCCATGATTGATGGTTGAAAATGCACCATATGCCATATGTTAGAAACCAACAACCAGATATATCCAATGATATCGGACCGTCTCGCTTGCTGATAGCACCAGCAACCAAATTGCTACAACAATTCAGTATATTCCTTGCTGCATTCTTGCTGGTTATATTGTTCCATTTTATCACATGTTATCCCATTTTTTGCCTGGTAATCTTCCCATCTATGTCCATTTTCTTGGGAGATTTTCTCAGATCTTCGAAGTTTCCCCTGTTTCCTCACCTTCATGGCTTTTGGGAGCCGTTGGCGGCTGACGCAGGGCGGACCCACCACCTTGCCATTGAGGCAGGTGACCTCGGCAGGTCGATCTCAATGGATCTTGCGACGAAATCATGGAGAATGGATCATAATTAGGAAGCTCATTCTTTATAGTATCCATAATGGATCATAATGAATCATAATCCTACTAGATCCTACTAGTTTTTTTTTTCTCACTATAGTATCGTAATGTCTTTGACTTGTTGATTGATTTGATTGTAGTGTCTTGATGCCAAATAGAAAGAACACATTAAATAATGATGTGGGTGAAATGGTGCGTGTGTGTGGCAAACAAAAGAGGGAAGCACATGCAATCTATCATTTTGTTGATTGTGCAGTATCTTAATGCCACACAGGGGAAACATCATGAAACATGGACAAAAAATCACAAAAAGTGAAACCACAAGCCAAATTAGTTGCATTCCAAGACCATGGAGCTCTTCGAATGTGTTCAAATTCAATATTTCAAATGATGAACCGAGAATAATTTGACGATATTCTAGATTTATCATTATCTCAGCATATCCAACAACAATTGATGACACACATATCTAATCTAATCCAAGAGAACCTTTGACGGCCGGGATAGGGTGAAGCCCTCAATGTAGCGTGGCTAAAACCAATATATACATTAAAGAGACCAAATATCACCAAACAAAACCCAACATGTTGAAACATGTTGAAACCATCTTTACCAACTTTCTTCTTTGGTTTTTATCTTTCTTTTCAACAAATCAGTGAACATCGCCGGGATATTTTGGGAGCTCCACTGGCGGCCAGCGACGCTTTCGTGGGTCAAGCAGTTCAGGTCGATGTGCAGCGCGGAGGTCTTGTCGCGGAGGTCCTCCTTCAACTGCTCCTTCTTCTCCTGTCGACACCACATGGAGATTTCGATGCCTAAAAGATGCTGAGATCCGAATCGTTCTTTTAGGTGGAACCATATGGAAACATTGGAGGTGAATCGATGGATGATTAGTGGAATGATAGATGATCATGAACAATACCCTTTGGTAAACGTTAACATAACTATGGAAAATCACCATTTTCAATGGGTAAATCCACTATTTCTATGGCCATTTTTAATAGCTATGTAACCAATTACCAGAGGGTAATGAAGATGAATTGCTGAGGAGCTGGGCTTTGGCGAAGGCCTTGGTTCAAGTATTTCAAGACGTGGTTGCCCTAATGGCCTGAATGGCAACTTCACCCGCAGATGCCCAAACATAACTATGTACCCACATGAATACCTAAGACCTATACACACACTATAATATGATGCTGTGTATATATAGAATATGTATACATACATACATACATACATACATTACATTACATTACATTACATTACACTACATTACACTACATTACATTACATTACATTACATTACATTCACACATACATACATTACATACATACATACATACATACATACATCCATGCATGCATGCATACATACCATACCATACCGTACCATACCATACCATAACATAACATATTGCGCACATTGTGATAAAGATACAAATGTGTGTATACATACACACACATGTATATATATAAATACACAATAACAGTCATAATGACCTATATTATAAAGATATTGTACATCATATCCAGCAATATGTTGTAAAAAACATGTAAAAACACGACCACCCACCGTCGTTTCCTGCAGCTCTTGCAGGACGGACTTCTCATTCTGATGGTGCTGCTTCAAATCTTCATGACACTTCAACAAGGTCATCCTTGGATCTGCCAATAGGCTAGGAACTAACGGCTGGGAGCCATCGTTCCGGCCATGAAATGCCTTAGAATCTCACTGAAAAGCTATAGAAAACATTTGAAAACCACTACATATACAAAATTTATACAAATATTGCTTGTTTTTATTTGGCACTCTGATTTTCAATCCACAATTTACAACTTCCCCAGAGATCTTCAGAACCCAACAGCCCAACTGATTCCGCCAGGACACTGATGTTCCAGCAAAGTGGTAGACACAGGATCCACAGTATGCTCCTCCACATTGCCCCAGCGGTTGGGCTGGGCACGGCACGTGCCGTGTTCAGAGTTTTTGGGACGGCGAAATGATGGGTCAAACAAATTTAACACATCACGACAATCAAACTATATCATCTATATCTACCCAAAGTATCTCAGACTTGGTTATCCAGATTTTCGTCTGAAAATAAGCTGCCCCTACTTCCAGTGGATTATCATCAGTGTCCTAATCTGGGGCTTAAATCCGCCATGTTCAGACACTTTTTTTTTCTGGTGTAGAACTCATCATTTCCCTTCATTTCCCAGAATTCTGATGGTATATCTACCATCTGGTTATTTAACATAGCCATGGAACATCCACCCATTTTTAAGAACGGTAAACCATCTATTTCGATTAGGGCCATCGAAAAACCATGGCTATGTTAGTCATAACCAGAGGGTATATCCCATTAAATCCCATTAAATCCCATTAAACCACCATTTTCCTATGGTTTTCCTACGGTATTCCAAAGAAATTGACTATATCTACCCAATTCATCCCAATTCTACCCAAAGTATCACAAAGATGTGTGGATCCATCGCTCAAAATGCTGGGATTTCCCATCCAACCTTGGGCCACTGGGCCACTGGGACCGGGACATACCGGGACTCCTTGGAAGCTCGCTGCTTGCGCCAAGATGCACAGGTGTTGGTCAACTCCATGGGCTCCTTGGAGGCATAGGACATGTGACTGACATGTGACTCTTGGAAACATTTTGGGTTACCCAACCTGGTTATGACTAACATAGCCATGCTATAGATGGCCCATAGAATGGTTTACCTATTAAAAATGGTGATGTTCCATGGCTATGTAACAAATAACCAGATGGTAAAATGTGATCAAATCTAGATGCCCAGGACTCCCAGGACACCCGAGGGCGCCCTGACCTGCCATGGTTGAGCCAAAGGCGCTTCCAAGGAACGGATGTGCGTCTTGGTGTCTTGGAGGGTGTTCTTGGTCATGTGAATTTGGGTACCTCTGGCGATCATGCATAGCGCAAACAGGATCAACTGGGGACTTGGTACAACTGGCGACTCCTGGGTTTCAAGTCATCTGACTAAAGGATTGAGCCAAGAAAATCGGATCACAAAGGTGGATCCGAGTGATACATCGGCATTACCAATCTTCTTGATCTCTTTATCGCGTATCATCTGTATATAAATATATATATACACATATGTTCTGTAAGCATACCATACCACTTCAATGTGACCAGGTCACACGTTTCGCGCAGTTCCGACTCCAGGCGTCGCCGCATCTGCTGGTTCTCATTCACGCGCTCCTGGCCCACCGGGCTGCCGCATCTGGAAGGCATCCGAGGCATTGTGAGTGGGCAACAACTACAGTATCTTACCATATCTTACCACTATTGATCACTTACTTATGGGTTTAACTTGCGAGAATCTGTGTATATATAAATGATTACATATAATTGTATATATATATGTGCGTGTGTATGTATATAAGCTCAACATTTCAACATTGTGTACACATGTGTGTGTATATATACATGGAGTATCCCAGTTGAAAATTATGTGTTTTGACATGGGTTACCCACCTACATAACTGGGATGCACCCACCAATAGGAGACACTTAAAGCAATGGAACATTGGAAGATCGGAGGCGCGATCCGACTTGAGGGAATCTCTCACTGAATTTTTTCTGCCGCAACTTGGGGATGGAACATAGCAATTTCTTGAAAACGCCAACATACGCCAAACAAATCACACATGCTGAAATTGCATGAAATTGCTAAGACATTTAAGACATGGTCGGGTGGAGTCGGGTGCCGGAGTTCAGTCCGGCCCCGAAGTCCCGAGTTTCGATCCATCTCGTCCAACTAAGCCATCCCTACAAAAAACATCAAAAAACTCCCCAAGAACACGGGCCTTGTCCAACTCACCCGATCCAACTACTGAACTACTGTCTCTTTTTGTTTTAATTCAACATTTATGAGTCACTTGTCAGATTCAAACATTTGAAAGTTGTTTAGCTCAACATCACGCATTTCCATCCAACCCAACCATGACCATCATATAAATAGCTGCATATAGCTCCACTCAAATCAATGGAATCAGTGGAATCACTAACCATTCGGCCAACCAGCCAACCCAATGCCGCTTCAGCCACGGAACCATCGCATTTCCATTCCCAGTGCTATTTTCAGATGATACACCACATCTTCACAGACTCATACACTGGTAGTTAGATAAGTAGATAGTAGCATTTTATGTACAATAAACATAGAGCCGTCCCCAACTCTTTTTTCATGCGCAAACCCTCTAGCCGCCTAGCCATTTTTCATCCCATCATTCCATCATCACGTCATCCCATTCGAAAAACCAAATAGTGTTCATCCATTCATTGTTTCTGTTGTTTCCATTGTTTCCATCGATTTTCATCATCATCATCATCATCATCGCCATCATCCCATTTTCCAATTCATGCATCATAAATACATCACTTAAGATATTCCCATCCCATAATATTCATAATAAACCATTATATTTTATGGTGGTTAAATCCTTTTCCATATGGGATGGGAAATATATCACTTAAGATATTCCCATCCCATATATCATCATATATCATATACATCACTTATATTCACTTATAATATATACCCTCTGGTAATTTAACATAGCTATGGAAAATCACCATTTTCAATGGGAAAATCCACTATTTCAATGGCCATTTTCAATAGCTATGTAACAAATTACCAGAGGGTAGATATGTGTACATATTCGGTGTGGATTTTCCAACCGGTGATGTTCCAATGATGGATGATCAACAATCCTTATATTCACTTATAATATATAATCATATATCACCATCATTCCCAGACCTTGTCAGATTTCCCATCCCATCCCATGACCTGCATGGATTTGTCGCTTTTCTTCGTGGCATCCTCCGTCTGTCGCTGCATGCGCTGGATCAGCTTATGTGCCTCTTCCCGGAGCTCCTTGGCGGCCTCCTGGCGGTACCCGGTACCCGACAAAAAGGGGCTGAAACAATGGGAACACCGCCATGAAAAATGGGGAAAATCGGGGATTTCGCATGACTTTATGACGTGTCATGAATCGAAGATGGTGATTTATGTGAAACATCTGTGACATTTCATCCATTTTCACGAGTTTGATGGAGTTTGACGGGGCTCGAACCAAGAGAAAATGGGGATTTCACAACGAGGAATTCTGAGTTACCAATTTTTGAGATACCATGGGGAATGAATGCTGACACATAAGAGAGAGATTTGAAGCAAGAAGAAATGGTATTTTGAGCAATGAACATGAACATTTCAATGGTGAATCAACATGAACTGCCCAACTCCCAGCACTCCTCGCGATGAATGGCTGACTGGTTCAGTCTCAAGGCCTCCTTCTGTCGAAGCACCTCGTTACCTGTGCCGAGGTGCCGATGGGTCAGATTTTCAAAATTACTCGAACCGTGTTTCTTCCTCCCTCGAAAGTACAAAAAACGACCCGGTCATTTGGAAATGATATGGTTGATAGCGATGTCATTGAGTACTTGACCATACTTGACCCATAATTACTCATAAACTACTAGCTTGCTATACCCATCCGTCTCGTTCATGGGGATGATGCTGATCATGGCAGGTAATTTGTTTTTTTTTTCATGGCTTGTGGCTTGGGCTGATGATGCCCTGTCGGTCTTGGGAAGCTGCACTTGGATGGTGTGCTGGTAAGAAGACATGACCAAAGGTATAGTGCTAAGAAATGTTCCTGTATTGATATCATTACCTACTGGTATATCTTAAAACATACTTAGATAATTTTAGATATTTAGTTTATAGATAGAATAGATAGAAGCAGATTCGAGTGTCAAGGTCACCATGCACATATTATAACATGCCCATGTCAATACTCTCTACCAACAGTGAACCTGTCTATATCAATAAACAAATGACTAAATAGATCAAACTAGATAGATCAAATATATGTTCCGCCGTCTCCTACTCATGTCCTATCCACTTTTCCAACTTCACAGAGGGGTTGGTAAATGTCCTACTTGAACATCACCCAACAAAAAAAAGGGATTGAGATCGTCTCCAACAAATACGGCTGAAGTTGACAGAAAACCAACCCATCCCCGTTTCCACCGAGCAGTTTCAGCCCAGTGGCGGAAGGACTCCTGTGCCGCGACCTCGTGGCGCGCCGATTGCGCCCCGCCGGGCCGTCGCCGCGGGCTGCTGGGCGGTAGGTTACGACTGCTGGGCCGCAGGCAGCTGCGTAGATAGCTGCTGCGATCCGCCACGGTCTCCAAACTTCGAGAGGTGGTGCGGAGACATAACTCATCCACGGATAAGGCTTGCCTCAGGGGATTGGAGGGAGAGATGAGATGCTGAGATGAGCATATACTGTAAATGAATTATACAGAAAGTATTATAAACAAGATTAGTTCATATCGATGGAGTGAACGCATAGATATATTCAGAATTATTTAGATCAAAGGGGCACACAACCCTCATGAATCAGACTGAGATCAGCCAAGCGGCAGTTAGGTGTCGTGGTCTCTGTCCCTATGAGATCCTATGAGTAAATATATCATCATGCATGCCCTTCCATTCCTGCATTCATGTTCCAGGTGGCCTGTACCAAGCATCCCTTCCCCTCCCATGTCAAGCTGAGAGGCGTTTTCTGCTGGATGTCATGACGAAGTTCCTCCAATTTTTGATCCAAAGCGTTGATGGTGGCCTGCAAGTGGCTGACACACTAGAATCGCACAACACAATCTGTAGCTTGAATAAACATGAATAAACAGAAAATTGATGAAAATGGAACCCTTTTGACAAAACCACCATCTACTTGGGGTCCGCCATGGGTACCTCTTGGGCTTGGACCAAGGAGGATGAACCAGATTGTCATTTGGCCCAAGGGGTACACTTGGTTCAGCCATCCCATTGTCCACTTCATTCTCAAGGTGGCCGTCCGGTGCATGGCAATTCTTCGGTGCTGTTCTCATCTCCAGCTTTAGTTGTATACCGTTGCATCCCGTTTGGGCCATTCCTTGGGGCTGCAAATGCCCAGAACACCTTCACAAAAAGCACGCAAGGCTCCCAACTGCCTGAGTCTTCTTGATGCACTCCTTCAATCTTCTTTGTGCGTCCATCAGACTAGCCTTCTCTACCTCGCGCATGCTGTGGCTCTGGGATAAATGACTGGTTGGTGGCTTCAACTAGTAGGAAAAGGACGTTGGGCAACCAACAAACTTCATCAAACACGGGGTATCCCCAAAAATAAAGTAGTTCAGCCAGCAACCTGGGGCCCTTTTCCACCAAAACTATAAGGATGGAAAGACAATTACAACCACAGGTGATCTCATGGATGATGTCGAAATGCATAAAGAATGATGAACCTTAGTCCCACACAGCTCATTATTAAAGCACGGGTTTTGCGCCCGTGCCATGCTCTCAAAGGCTTCCCACCCCTCACATCTATGTCCAAAATATCAACCCCATATCTAAGCCTCCCCAACTTTTGAACTAGCTGATTGACCACTGCACATTCCATACATACATAGAATGGTCGCTAAAAAGTGCCTGCAGTATTGATTGCTGCAATGGATGTCCCCACGATAGCTTGTGCAAACAAAAAAAATCACTCCTACTTCCAAAAATAAATATGTGTATATGTATGTATATATATATGTATACTTGTATATATATTATTTTATATGACAACTTTGCATTCTTCCCCCATCCCCAAAAGGAAAACTCTGCAAAGATCTGTTTCTGCCATGGCCATCCCCCCCAGCCTCCAGGCAAACCTCCACAGTGTCGCGCACCTGTTCCCGCAGGGGCCGTTTCTCGCGCTGCTCCAGGCGCCAGGTGCACAAGGCCAAGGGTGGATCCTTCGAGACCAGGGCATCCTGCAACTTCTGTAACGTTTGCCTGGCAACGTTTGAAACCCAGTCATAATTGGGGGGGTTCCAGCTGGTTTCAAGGGGATTTCAAGGGCTGTTTGTTGGGGTATAATCTAATGTGGTGATTGAATGGGGTTTCATGGGATATTACAATCAATAATTCAGACAGTAAAAGGGGGCTATGAAATACATCACCCAGTCGGGGTGGGCACAATTTCATAAACCACTACATACCATTGGGGCGTTGTTTGCTTGCAATCTCACACTAGCTGCGATGGAAGCATGAGAAGGACAGGTTTTGGAAGTTTTGGAGCTGGGATGTGGGCAAAGTCCTTGGTTTTAACATGGTGGAACTTGGGCAACAACAAAGGTTACAACTCATAAGCCAACAAAAACAGAATTTCGCCAATGAAGTAGGAGCATCTCGGACACAGACAGTAGCAAACAATGAAAGGATGCATTTGTAACAACGGTTCCATAATTGTGATAAGCACGAAAAGAAATGAGGTCATGAATGATGATCAGTCACTACATGGGATGAGCATCCACCGTAAAGTCCGCAATTGCAGGATTTTGACCCTGGCCATTTGGGTGTAGCCATCCCATCCATTGCTTGCACCTGGTGTGTTGCAAGGAGTTCTCCACAGATTGCGCGCGATGCGACAACTTCTCCACCAAGCGCTGTGAAGTCTTCACCTTCTGGTCGAGGGAGCTATGGAGCTCGTTGTACATGCTCATGTTATCCTTGGTTTTCCAGTGACTGGGAGCTCCTATTTCGGATCCTAAGAGATTAGCAGCCAATTTCCAACATGTTTCCCAAAAAGTGGACCAAAATTATGATCCGCAGGATCCCGCGGTTGGAGCCACGTAGCTTGTAGCATCTTATCATTAGCATTTATTAGCTAATAATTAGGACAATTAAAGTTTACCTATAGATACCTATAGTAGATAATTACAAACATATCACCTATAGGTATAGTAGATAATTACACAAATAACCTATAGTATACTTTAGATACCTGATACCTATATATATATATAGATACCTATATTAAGATACTTCGGCAGGGAGCTTGGGTGCAAACGTTTCACCATCAACGAATCTCACGCTCCGCAACGGCCTCCACGCACTGGGGGCAACAACAAAAACACGCGGACGGTTGTAGCATGGTCCCCCATCACATCTAGGAACCTCGGAACAATAAAAAAATCCATTAGTTAATGAATGGTTATATGCTGTTATAAATATGCATATATATATGTTATACTATGGAACCTCATATAACATAATATAACATAATATAACATAATATAACATAATATAACATAATATAACCATTAATTACAGGAGAAATCCACTAGTAGAAATCATTGTCAACCATTCACATCATTCCGAAATCCGCATTTTGTGTCTGCTTTGTGACCTCCTAAATATGAACCACCCAGCGAAAAAAAACATGTTCATCCAGCCCAGCGTCCGACATGACCTCCTCATGTGCTCGGCTGGAGTGATCTTGTTGAGTCATGGCTTTTCTGTGCGTCCTTTGGGCTTGGTACCTCCGATCGGGAAACCATGTGTTCCACTGGAAACAGCCACAGATGTAAGGTGATGTCCTGGGAGCCAACAGTGCAATCTTAGGGGCGAATGTGTATAAAAGTTGCGAAGAACACCTGAGCAGTGCCACAAAAATACTGGTGTTGTCCCATTCTACACCAATTTGGATCCCAGTTACTGTTGCAGCAGAACATAGCATACCCCAAATAAGCATGAACAAACATCATCTGGCGAAGAATCATAGGATATACATCCTGCCAAGCTACATGTTATGATGAGCACTCTGTGCCCATTCCTGAGTGGTATGCATACTCATTCCCGGCAAGCGAAACGCGTGCGTCGCGTGCGCTGGAAAACGCCTCCGATAGCTATCTAACCTACTAGCGTTGATTTGAGCCAAAAAGGCTTGGATTTTGTGGTACTCGATGGAGCAAGGTGATAGCCTGAACATCAGCAGATGAAAGATCCATGTCCCAAATGTCTGGTTTGTTCTTGGGCATGCCCCTACTTGGGATAACCTATACATATATATATATGTATAATCTCTCTCTCTCTATATATATATATTTAAATATATTTAATAGACCTCCAACAGTTGATGGGGGTGGCTTGTTCTTTGATACTCTTTTTGTTCCCACATTATTGAGGTTTCGTAGGCAAATTCCCATTCCCAGCAGTACCTGGTAGGTCTCCAAATCATTCCATCCCTTCCTGTGGCATCCCAACGGGATACGGGCTTCTGGTATTTTTCTTGGGCTGTAATGGATTTCAGTGGGGTTGAATGGGGGAAAACAACCAAACACACTTGGACTTTGTTGATAAGCTTGTCAAGATAATCAAAAAAATTGATAACCTGATACCACGGACTGGAAAACTCATCAGCAGATTTCATACTCTTCAGCAGGAAAATCATGCAACAATCATCTTGTGCCATGGGGGATATTCTGCGGCCGTGGCTGGTGACTTCAACCCATCCCAAAAACAATGGTCGGTGTGGATCATCCCAAATTTGTTGTTGAAAATCACCCGCCAGATACTGTAAGCACCAGGGTGACTGTGGATAACTGGTTTTCCCTGGCATACTATAACTCCTCTTTTGCGGCTTACCGAGCGGCTTCATCAATCTGGCTTCATGAGAATTCACAATACCAAACACACCCATATTTTGCGAGCTCCCCTTACTTACCATCATTCTCAAAACCATTGATTCAAACTATTGGTCCACAATCTGATTTAAGGCAATGTCCAAGGTTTCACCACATAAAACTTGAATATGTTTTCAACCAAGCAAAAGTCTTTAATTAATTCACTTCTTTTCTGCTTTCCAAATCATTTTCAACTTCAGTGGGCTATATTCCCAGAGATTTCCATGGAAGGCTTTTGTTGTTCCCAGAGATTTCTGATGAGGTCGTCCCTAAAGATTCCAGCCACAACCAGCAGCTCCTAATCGCTCGCTGCTTCTGAAACTCCACGTTCCGTGCCTTAGTTCTGCACGCTGCTGGACGCCAGATGAGGAACGTTTTCAGGTAGAAACCCACTGGGAGAAAGGCAACCAGGCCAAATGATAAATGATAAATGTCCAGTACCCTAGAAGTTGCCATGGCCCCAAAAAATTGGCGTCGCAATCCCATGCCGGTGATGATCTGAAATTGGGGGCTTCTGAACCACTAACAACCACTACTCAGGGGTTGATGAACTGATGAACGACCTTTGGGGCCCGGAGACTCTTCGCATCTCTTCGCTGACTCCAAGGTTAAAGAATGTTAAAGACATATTTCATGTCATATATTTTATCCACACTTCCTATCTCATCCCAGCGACCGTATTCCAAGAAGTTGTGACCTCTTCCAAAGGGATTTCCGCCTGGGGCCGTGGCTACGGGGCACCCAAAAATGGAATGGGCTAAGCGGCAATCACAGGGTTTTCCCCCACCAGGGTTCTATGCCAGTGCGGGTCGGACCTGCCTTCCTCTGGCATCAAAGATAGACTGAGTGTGGCACAAAGGCAAGAAAGCAGTGAAAGCAATCATTGTGGCACCGGTTTAAAAAGGAAACCATGGCTTCTAAAAATCATAAAAAAAGGGCTTTCTGTAAATATTCCCTTAATCCACGTTTGATCATTTTGGCACCATCCGGCAGAAAATTGAGATGTAACCCCGACAACTAATCATTTTTGAGATGTTAAAACTTCACTTCCAAAAAGTAGTTCCCAACTTTTTTTGATCAAACTGATGTTTTAACATAGGCAAAACCCCCGCTATTTACAGTGGTTCATGGTTTTCCTCATGTTTTATGCCCACAACTTCGGATTCTTTTCTACCCAACCAGCCACCCCCACCTGCCGCCCATCCGTGGCGTCGAAGCGTTCGAAAGGCAGCTGTGGGCAAACACTCAGCAAGCGCTGCCGGCAACCTGCACAGCGGATGGGGGGGAAGTGAAACAAGCAGAAACGATCAAAATGAGGGAATTGATAGAGTTCAGAGATACAACACGATAAAATATGGATAGTGGGAGTTGTAGTTGTAGTTTCAACCAGACATAGGAATTCCACGAAAACACTATGGGAGTGAGTTGACCAGCAAATCGAATTCAACCAAAGAAAAACTGTGAAGTTAAGCAAACTAGGGATTTAACCAACATACGTGGAAATTTAGCCACGAAAAGGCCATTTGACTAAATAATAAACCTGGGGAATTCTCCAACAAAGCCAAGGATTCAACACCATTGGCTCAATAATATTGGGATCTGACATTGCTGAAGCAGCAAGAATGGGGTTCAGTGGCTTGGCAGCAACCGTTTTCAGCCTCCATGGCTGACCTGCAATGAGCACTGATACGCAGGAAATCACTTCGCACTATGAACAAAAATGTCAGTTTCAAGTTTCAAACCATCATCAAAGATAATTTTCAAACAGAGATATGCCGAACATTCCCAAATCATTCCCAAATCGGTGAATAATTGATCACGATATATATCATGATTGCATAATGGCAGGATTCTTGTCATCCATCTAATACGTGCTTCGATTCATCTCCAAATAAGGTCAAATCAGCATTAAAATACATAAAACTAACCAACTAGTTGGCTTCAGTCAGTAGTTTCACAGTGAAGCCGTGGGGAAGTCTTCACGACCTTCCATACGGTCATGGCGACGTTGCAGGTTCACCACCTTTGGCGAGGATCCGGGGAGCTTATGCGTAGATAAATGTGTATATATATAATATAATAATGTATATATATATATAAATACATATATATATATATATGCATAATATATATATAGTTGTATAAAAATACATGCATCTATAATAATCATATATATATATACATATCTATATTATATATCTCATAAATGCGCACTGTCCTGTGGCAAAGATGAATAATTACATAAGGATATACATTAGTATATGCAATATAGTAACTGGGGAAAACACATGTGCATGGCCTCGAGAAATGAGGGCAACCGCCGTTGGCCGTTTGTAAATCAACGAGATTCCAGCACAAAAACATACAAACATGACTGTTGCGTGGTTTCAACCCCTCTGAAAAATATGAAAGTCGGTTGGGATTATTATTCCCAATATATGGAAAATATAAACTGTTCCAAACCACCAACCAGGTGATGTAACTTGCTAAACAAACGAGTTGATATCTAGTACATTGGTGATACCCTCAGCAACCAACAACGTGAGGAGTCCACCAACAATCAGTGGAACTGGCTCCAAGAGTTCCGATGATTAGTGGGATTTTTGTGTGGTGTGGGACAAAGCCACTTAACACGGCCAACTGAAGGATGAGAAAACTACCCATAAACCAAACATAACGTTATAACCAAACTATGCAACACCAATCCTGGAATCCAGCAGTGAATTATTGGCACCAGCCAGGAATAGAACCTGAACATACTTGAAGAAATTACAGAGGCACCGTATCACAGGAGGATTGAACTGAGAAACCCCCGTAGGTTGGATCAACCAGGTAGACACTCCACAGATCTTCTCTTTGGTCCTTTGCCAGTTTTTCCCTTCTGGGCCCCCGAACCACCGTCTTCAGTTCTGCAATGCTGGGCCGTGCGGTTGAAATCGTGCGGCTGCGCACTGCATTGCGTGCTGGGCTGGCGACAGAGGTGCGACCTGGGCGCTTGGAGTCGCTATCAAGGACCCCCCAAATCCCCAAAGGCTTCACATCAAGTGTCTCTAAATGTTTCCAAGCATGGCCGTTTCAAAACAGCATCAAACCCAAATGCACTGATCTCAGTGTGTATATATATATATACATATATTTATACATATGATTATATATATATATATGTATGTGTATGTCTTCCCTTTTTATTTCCATTGTTTTCCCCTCATTAGGCGTAATCCTGGGGGCAGAGCTGTACCAGATTTTTTCTGAGCTTGGAACGTCTGAGGCATGGGGCCAGAATTGTGTTGCCCTGGAGCCGCTGGAGCCATATCGGTGAAGATTGTGAAGATCCATCAGTTATGGTGGCTCAAGATGCCAAGAATCAGCCAAAAATCGACCTGGAACACCTAAAAAAAACCAACAGAATTCGCATTTAGTTATGGTGGTTCCATCATCTTCCATCACAAATCTGTTAGGCGGGACCTTCCCAAGTAGAAAGAGAAATGCCGCATGAAAAGATGTCTCGAAGTTGGAAGGAGAAATGAATCCAATCCACCATGAACCCTGGTAGCAATGACAGCGCGCTCGCGGCCTGTTGCCTCTTGCGTCCATTCTGCTGAGCGAGCATGGTGTAGCGTCGCGCTGTGGGCCGTGTCGGCTTTACTTCGTAGGTTTTACGCGCTCCCAACCTGAAGCAAACCCCGAAGGATCGCCCACAAGGATTCCCGAAGGCATTCCAAATCCGAGATTGTGACCGCATCATACCGCATCAAACAGCTTCCAATATATCCTGTGAGTTTTAGTGCAGTGAAGACCTGTATAGACAGCAAAGTTCCCCCAATACTACCAATATCTATCCATGCCAGTACATATCGCAAAAAATGAGCCAATTCCCGTTCACAATTCCAGGATGGGGACAAGAGGGAAATGTGTGTAAACATTTGAAACCACCAAGAAGTTGTACAAACTTGTGCCTAAGAACCTCTCTCAAGTCTTAAGATTGGAAGCGCCATGATAACCCAATAGTGTCAACTGCCCATTAGTGAACCCCTGGGCTGTTTGCTTGGGGAGCACCCTTTTAGTTGCAAATTCGCACCGTTTCGGGGTACCCATTGCACATTACACATCATTTCATCAATATGAAACAAACGGTTCTATGGACCGTGCGTTCATCATCAGTTTTGACATGCTCAGGCCATTCTTGGAACATGTTGCGGCCTCATGCGAACCTCCGTTTCGCCCACCAGTACAACAAATAATCAATGCGGTATGATGTGGTACTGAGCCAAGTTGCTAAGGAGAATCTACTTGGGTCGAATTGATTACATCATATTACATCATTTTGTGATGATTCCCCTCATTAGCCATCATTCCAGTGACTCACAAGGTGAAGTCATTCCAATTATTCCAGTTTCTTACAGTAAGTTGGTTGTATATCCTATTATATCCTTTAAACACACACATAATGGAGAAAATGGGATATACTCCCAACTAGCTGGTTCAGATATATTGGGATATTCCTTAAAAACACATAATGGTTGTTCAATTCAATTTCCCGATTTTTACAATTTGTTACTCCCACGAGCATCCCGCAGAAACCACTCGCCAAGGCACTTATCCAAGTGGGGGCCCACCGCGAGCACAGCTGAGCAAAAATAAATGGCAGCGGATGATCACCTCAACAGTTAAGAACAAATATGAATATCAATGCGTATATATATATAATACACATCTTTATACATATGGGATATGTATGTGCGTGATGCATTAGTTGCTACTTTATGATATTTGAACCAACCAAGGTAACCAACGAAAGGAGCAACCAAAGATAACCAAAGCTGTGACTGGTGGTTTGCTTTTCTGAAGTACAGGGGGAATACCATAGTTCTGCTGCTATTATTGATAAATTATCGCCAGTGATTACCATGAACAAAAGCCAACCCACGTCTGCTGGCGTTTTGACCTGCGCGCGGGCCCGAAGCGTGGCAGTTATAGGCCACATCTTTTGAACCATGGACGCATGGGTTTGTCCAAAATGTTGGGGTACAAAAAAAATATACGGGTATATCGTGGTTGTCGTGGTTGTTGTAAGTAAACTTTGAATGGTACCATAGTTGGTACACAACTCAGATAATATAATACTACAGTAAATCCATTGATAAATCATGATAAATCATGATAAATCATAATTGTTCTTAGTCTTGAAAGGGCATGGGCATGTAATGGAGCCACCGATGTCATCCGGTTTCCCATTTCAAGACAAACCCACATGGAACACATGGGCCTTCAATACAAGCGTCCCATGCTCCCCATGCCGCCGCTATAGGGGCCGGGTCGTTTGGCCAGCTGTCTTTGCAGCTGCATTGGGTCCACTGCTGCGCTGGTGATGGTGGTTGTTGCCTGGCGAGGGTGAAACACAGCACCCCTTCGGTCCTTACATAGTAAACACATGTAAGCACATCTTATTCGCGCGCACAAATTCAACACACACACACATGTATACATCATATCATATATCAGTAAATCATCACAATGCATCCGTTTGTTGAGATCCTGTTCTACTCTTGTAGTTCGGATTCAATGGTTGATGGTGTTCCTGCTGGGATTCAATGGTTCATGGTGTTCCTGCTGGAACGTCCATTCCTACAGATCTTTAAATTCTGAACTGAAACAGCTAAATGGGAATATGGTTTTCCTCCTGGAACTGACCATTTTGTTGTTTTATTTCGATCCTCCTTTTATCCCCTTTGCAAAGTATCCATGTGACATCATATGACCATATGGGTTTGTCTGAAAACATGGTAGTGTACCCAAACTATTGTGAGTAATCGTCATTTTCCCAACGTTTTAGTGACCATTGGTTCAGGACCCATCCAAAAAATCTTTGGACAAACTCATGTCCATCCCTTTGGGGTCAGCAATTTTTGAGGCCCCCTGTCATTTAAATTCATTTACTTTGACCCAGATTATCTCAACACATCCCCGTATCAGTATCATGCCCCCAAAAAAAGGCATCATTTTGGCTGGTGACAATTCGGGGGATCCCAACATATCCCAACCCATTCATTCGGTGCTGTCCAGGTGGCCACGATGTCTGATATGCCGCTTCTTTGGCAGCGAGAACACACCTCGACAAAAGCGTCAAAAGCGTTGGAGCTGGCAGATTCAGCTTGCGGATGGATGCACGGACGGATGGATAGATGTGCATGTGTGTACGTGTAAAAAACCATGATAGCACACATACACATATAGAATACACACATACATACTCATATATACACACACATATATATATATAGATACATATTCATAATTATTCATAAATTTGCTATTATCATCATTATCATCATCATTGTTCTTATTATTACTACTATTATGAATGTTATTACTATTTCATTTATATGCATATGTCGTATATGCACACATATGCGTGTGAGATACCGGGATATCGCGCCCCCCACTGCAGCTGAAGGACACAGCCGACCTCGGTGACAGGTTCACCAGGACATCTGTCGCGAAAGATGTTTTTCTATTCTATTCTTAAAAAGGGAAACTGATGAATCAAAGATGAACCATATAGAAACATATGAAAATAATTACTTAAACAAATGCCGTGAATATGTCTATTGTCTTTCTCATTGGTAATTGTTCAAGTCATTATCATCATCATCATTATCATCCCCAATCAGGGGAAAAACTCTCGTGGGCCGTGGGCCACTGTTTTGGATGGAATGGCAACCGGTATCACCGCTTAAAATCGGAGATAAGTTCAACCACCAACCATGGTGTCTTACACAAACATCATTGCTTGCTGCTAGCTGATGGCAGTCCCATTTCATCCCATTTCCCAGGGTTTCCCAGGGACCATCTTTGGATCCCCAAAGGCAATCAGCCAATGGAAATCACCCATCCAAAAAAGGGCATGTTTCATCATGCTGAAAATTGCCATATTTGATTTCCAGAGGGTATCTATTTTATTTGATGGAACGTGCTGTGATGTGACTATCTCAACTCAGGGACAAATTTTAGCTTCATCACCGAATAACCTTCAAGTTTAGGAAAACGCGTAGGTATCGATTTCTCAATCCCAACAATTTAGCCCCAAATCGCCAAAGAGCCAACACATTTCAAAATTTAGAAATACAATATTGGGAAATCTTTTTTCCAAGCCCAGCCAAGCCAAATTCAAGTCTCAAGAGCCAAATGTCCCTGGGCATTCTTCTTCAGCGTCAATTGCTGTCCCACAGCTTTGGTATCTTTGGCTGCTGCGGCCGCTGTGGCTGCTACGGCTTTGGCTTTGGCCATGTCGCGACCTGACGGCCAGCTGGCCAGCTGACCCATAGCCAGTTCAGATGCGACATGATCCGTTTAGGTCGTTTTGTACTCGGTTTCCATTAATGTTTGTGCTTTATGATCTTGGTAGTTGTGGCAACCCAAGATAGAATATATTTGAATATATCATAAGTAGAGCAGCAGCTGAAGGATTCTCTCTCTCTCTCTATATATATATATATTACACCATGGAGTAAACATCATCAGTCACATCCAGGAAGCCATTTCTATCCACTAGGAGGTTCCCACGCGATCCTCAAAGCGGCCCAGTTGGGAATTGGATATGCTGGCATTTGCCGGTCAACCCGACATTCTTTCAACAGTTCGACCCCTTTTGCATATTCTTTTCACTGGAAAACCCAGTTGCAAAATCTTACAAACACCCGATTGCAATTAGAGAAATTAGACACATGCTATCTAGAATCTTGGTGGCTCTTTCAGGTGTCTGTGGGGGGTCAAAGTTTGACACCGCCGCGTGAAGTGGATGGGTTTATGCTCAAAATATCTCAAAGAATAAACACCGGCCCTGTCCATCCTTGTCCCAGGTGCTAAACTATTAGTCTCAGCCAATTTGCCTGGTTTCTTGTTGAATAAACCCCGTTATGTTATGAGCCCAACCTGATGATCACGTACCGTGGACCATCACCTGCACATCCAAACGTTTGAAATATTTGGGACCACCAGCCAGCTAGAACCAGCAACCTGCTTAGAATTCATGTCCTTTTGTGATGCTGGTCCTGCGCTTATCCAGTTTACCCAAGTAGTGATATCCCCCTCCAGTCTTGACCTTGGGCTTCCACATTGGTTTTGCGGCCGACAAGATCATGGGCCATCGGCCTGTTACAGCCTCCATTTCATTCTGGCCTAGTCTTGACATTAGGTACCCGAAAATCCCCTGGTTTATCACCATTTATCACCCATTGAACTTGCCATTTTCCAGCATCCGCCATAGCGTGAGACGAGCCAAGTTTCTGAGAACCGCATCTTTCAGATCCAACGGTGCAGTGCCTCCAGTGACATTCACCGCTTGTAGTGCCCTTCCTGGCTGCCCCGTCGCTTGCAAGTCGAACTGCACCCGGTCGCCTGGCCAAGAACATGAGGTCGATGGATACGATGGATGCGGTTGAAGATTTAGAGGAACTCCCCATATTTCATTGCAAAATCGCTGGTTTCCTGCAGATTTTCCTGCAGATTTTCCCTTAAACCAATCCATTGATGAGGAGATTTGAGTACTGTACCTGGTAAGATCTGGGCATGCTTCAAGGCCACCTGCACGAGAACTATTCAATTGAACGAGGCTTTTTTTCACTTGCGATGTTCGCATAGAAGAGTAAGCACTACCCCCTATACATCCATATACCAAATTCATCCTTAAATTCTACATCATTGATCATCATTGTGTCATTTGATCCTTTGAATTCATTTGGTGTCGTATTCCAAACAACCACAGGACGACTACAATTTTTCGGGTGTTCACCTCGCCTGTGACAGGCCTTGAGCCCACGCAGTCGCGCAGCTCTACCCAGGTCCGTGAGCCGTCAGGGAATTCGATCCAGCCAAAGCCTGCTGCGAGAGGTTGGAAGTTGGAGCCTGGTGATTTTTCCGCATCAAAAACATGGGGATTTCACCAGGAACAAATGGGGAGATCATCTGGGTAAACAAATTACAAATGAACATACGTATGTATATTATGGGAATCCATGAGAGTTGATATATCAATACTAATCGGATATATGATGTAAGGTACTAGAAAGGCATCTCACCAACAAATCTGCGAGAAGAACATCACCAAGGATACTGGGGATGCCAAAACTGTAACCGGCCTATACTGTCCATCACCCGCAAACACGCAACCATAAATGATCATTGAAAACGCACAAACAAGCTGACTCACTAAGAAAAACAAAACTATAAAACCCAATAGAACTCTTCATTGACATCTGGAAGTTTTTTTCAGTCCTCACAAGCCATGCAAATATGAAACAAGCACTGTAAGGTGAGGCGCAGATGGGAACCACTCCCTGGAGCCGGGGCCTTTCGCATTGAAGGCTTTGACGACGCCAGAGAATTGCCCAGTGCCTGGCAGGTCAAGGAATCCATGGTGAGCCCCTCATGTGGTGTCCAATGACAATTTCAACAGGGACAATTGTCATGAATCATCAGATTTTGGGGTAACCATATATATATATATATGCAATAATAATGAGTATATATATATATATGTACATGTAACATATAATATGTAATATATAATATGTAATATATAATATGTAATATATAATATGTAATATATAATATGTAATATATAATATGTAATATATAATATGTAATATATAATATGTAATATATATATATGTTTACGGATGGGACATGGGTGAAAACACGGAAAAACAAGGTCGACCCCGGCACCTTGAACTGGAGTAACTTGGCCTTTGCCCTTGGTATTGCAGCAGCGCTCATCTGTACCGCCGATCACCTGAGGGGATCATGGCTTGGACACATCTATAGCTAGAACATGCTAGAACTATAGAATTCTATGCAAAATTTGCAGGTATATGTAAATTGCATGTATAGTATCTATTCTATTCTATTCTATCCTATCCTATCCCATCGATCGATCGATCTATCTATATCTGTATGTGAAGACCGGTGAAAGAGAGAAAGAGATTTAGATACAGAAACATGAAGAGTTTATGAGGAGACTTGGCACATGGAGAAATACACAATTTACCTTGACAATTGCCTTCAAATGGATATTTATGTTGTTTTCTCTTCTGCAATAAACAACATAAATGTATGTATATAATATATATATACATGCATGTATATATATATACTGATGTCATTTCAACAAGTTTAATCAAGACCAGCTGATCTATACGATGATGCTGCCAACATCGCAAGTTGACAATAATTGCAATTTAATTTTCAACGAGCCAAGCCGACCAATCTTGTCTGCTTGGTCACTCACTTGAAAAAGCTAAGTGCAAGCATTCATCAAAAGATAGTGTACGCCACACACACACATATATATATATATACATATTGATACACATAAACGAACCATCTATATAATGTTCATATATGCAGTGGCCACAGTGGCCTTCATTCATATACTTACATTGAGAGGCCTTATGGAAGTGAACTCCAAGCATTGCCGAATCTCGTTCGATTATAGTGCTGCACAGCTGTCGGGGTTATTTTTTCATCCATCGACCCACAGGTGAATAAGTGGCTCGTTTGGCTTGCATATGCTCGGGGTTGTCCTGTCGTGGCATCAAGGGAAGGGTGGATGAAATTGAATGTCAACACCTGGATGGTCCTTGTTGGGCCTGGATCATTTGATATCACACATGTCCATGTTTGTTGTTAAAGAACAACAGGACAAGAAAAAAACACCGTTTCGGGTGGCATATCTCCAGATTCACGAGTAAATACGAGTAACAAAAACCCTTGGCTCCCTTGGGAAATCTTGGGAAATTGTCCACATTGGCTGGGAAATCCGCATGGCTGGGACAGCAAAACACCTTCTGAATGGATATCAAGAGGGCATGTCCCGTGGCGACGTGAGATCCTGTGGCTTGCACCTCCTGCAAAACATGCAGCATGGATCCAAAACAGGGATTAAACATGATTAAACAAAGTCATAAGGGTTGGACAAATATCTCTATTTCAAACCTTTGTCTGGTGAGAATAAGACCATAACATGAACAATCTTACTAAACCAGAGTTCTGGGGGGGGTGCTTGTGATCGTTGTTGCAAATCAAAGTGAAATACATGAGGAAGACCCCGTTAGATTCCCACAGGGTAAAGTATCTATAATGTAAATCCTGGACGAACAACCCCTGGGCTTCATTCAATTGCCATTTATCGCCTTTTGGCGATGATTGCCGGAGTACTCAACCAGTCTTCATTAATCAGCCATGGTCAGGATGATCACCCGATGGTCACTAATCTATAGCTACTAACGGACCTGCGTCTACTAATTCGGGCTTGACATTACCATCTGCTTATTTAACATAGGCATTGAAAATCACCATTTTTAATAGGTAAACCATCTATTTCTATGGGTCATCTATACCATGGCTATGTTAGTCATAACCAGATGGTACCTCCAGAAATTGGCAACCACCCGGCACCGCCTTGCGCGGTTCAATCTCGAAGCTTACAGTGTCGCCCACTTGCGGCTGCCCTCCTGTGAAGAGTTCCTGAGGGGAAGTCTGACAGCCCAGTGATGAAACCAAGGTCACAAGATGGAAACCATGTTGAAACCCCGCTTAATCAGGTAATATATGGTCATATCATTGGATTGGTTCAAGGAGAAATCTGCAGGAAACCATGGTTTTTACCATTATTTCTATGGGGGGTTTCCTGCAAATTGTCCCGTAAACCAATCCAATGATAATATCATTGAAGAGTCCAAGTTCATCTAGTTTCTATCTGGTAGGGACCCATGATTTAGTGTGGAGCTGTGAAACCCGTAACCCAGAGTGGTCCCTTGCTCGACCGCCATGAAAATCATGCCATTCCTATGTTGCTGGAGGAAGCTTCAACATCCTCAGGTTTGCAGTCGTTCACGTGCACCATGATATCCACGCCGTTCAACTCCACAAAGCCTTGCCCAGGGCATGGCTCACAGCGCTTGATGTTTGGAGGGCCAGCCCCAGGTGTGGACCATACTGCTGGCACCCAACCAATACCACCCATCTTTTTTTGTGGTGATGTCGTCATAGATTTGTGGAGGTCATATAATCTGATCTATAATTACGCACTGCCCACTGAGCGTTCCCGCCGTAGTTTACTCATGTTTACTCATCCTACCAAGCACAACGCGAGCATCACGGTGCCCGGAGTCAGGAAATGAAAGGCATGAGCCTGGGCCATGTCACCCACCCCCATGAACACCCAAACACCAACGGAACACAAGAGATCAAAACCGTCAAATGTTTGTCCATTGCGCCCAAACATGCTCCCTATATATCCCCACGCAGATATGGCCACCTTGTTTTCTGTCATAAGAATAGGTGGCAAACGGCTGCTCATTCCCCAATACACATATGCATATGTACAAACATGATAATACTGCCAAGAATAATGCCATTAACCACACGAGTCATAGTACAATGATAATATAATAATATGTAAGCAATTGCAAACATATTATGTAAACATTTTGCAACATATATATATAATACTATAATATATATATATAATTGGATGATGTGTTTAGTGAACACTACTTATCTGGATATAATATGTAGTCTTAACATCTATGTTTACAGAAATGCATTCATTAATGTTTATATATGATATATACATATATATGTTATTATATGTTATCGATTGTTATCGTATATTACATATATCGGAGCTTGTGACCTGCACCACCAATTTAGCCTGCACACATCTGCACACCCTTTTTACGCGATAAAGTGAGCATAGCACAGCTGGTGTGCGCCCAAGTGAAAGAGTGAAGGCAACACTGTCCTCGCCTACGCAAGCGACTCTGGTGACAGAAGTATTGGAATGGAGATCATCAGACCTCTGGTGCACTTGCGACATCGTTGCCTTCGATTTCTTGTGGCACTGAAGCCCAATCAAGGAACATCACCAGTTGGAGGCTTTACACATCTGCTGGGTCATGTGAGGTTCACCTTTACGCTCCCAACGCCTGGGAGAGCAGGCAGAATAATCACCATTTCCCCCTTTTGTATCCTCTTGTGGATCATCTATCATCTAACCCTGTTTAACCTGTAATAGGTTGGAGCAACTATGCAAGTGAAGCCACCAACCTGTTCATGAAGGGCCCCATCAACAACTTCCACTGGTCGTTTTAAGACGTGGGAAGGACGGGCGGCTCTATGGTACGCGACCCGATCGTCGTGCGTGAACTTCCGTGAACTGCGGTGCTGACGGCGGCCACATCAGAAGACGTAGACTATTTGGTACCCCATATGATGATGGCATCAGGAAAATGCAACATGTGGACAAGAACTACACCGAGAAAAATGGGGATGTAAACAGCGGAAAAATACAATTTTGACCTTTGCGACCTTAGCACGCCGCTCTTCTTGGGAACCACAGATTTGTTTTTGTTTCTTTTAATGGTTCAGGCATGTTCAGGCTATTTCAGGTTTGGATGATTGTTGTTGATGCCTTGCTACGCAAATTTTGCATGGACAAAGACCCAGCTCGAACCCTAAATAAGTGCTGGCAAATGGGAACCATTCGGGTTTGAGGGGCAGGGGGCGGAATCATGTAATATCATATGCGATCGACAAACATTGAGGGATCCATTAGTTGAGGCGGCCCGCAACTCTGAGCCAAGGTCGTTCTAGTTTAAGGAAAACCGACATGTTAATTTTGATACCGAGCTGACGTCAGAACCGGGCCAACAAAGCAGCAAAATGGCCTCTGGCCAATAGAACTATGAGGAAATACGTGCCTGTTGATGCCTGTTCCATCAGAATCCTTAGACGCTTCCACAAGAACAAACTACGCATTATCCGATTGCAATCAAGAAGTTCACATGGGGCACATATCAACCAGAGTCTAGCAGCATGCGTGTAGACAGACTTTAGCCAGTGGAAATGTCGCCGAGTTCTGCTTCAATAAATGAAAAAGCACCTGTGCCCAGTGGCCGTCGCAGTGCCAGCAGCTCAAAAATAAAACTGCCAAACAATTACAGTGGATTCTCCAAGTGCAGTAGCTTCTCATATCAAATTTATGTTCAAACCATGTTCACCACCATTCGGAACGCTTCAACGCTGTCGTGTTTTACACAAACAAGACCAGTCTGCACTTGGTCGTCGATGTCATCTGAGCAGGCCCAACAAGGTCCAGAGAGAGAAAGCACATTTCTGACCTGCGCCAACTGCAATGGCATCGCAGTTCTCAACGCAACATTCCTTGTAGACAGTAGCCAGGTACTCATCACAGTTCGTGATGTTTCCCACGCCTGAGGCTGGCGTTATTTTTAAATCACATCTGACTGCAAAGAAGTCCCTGCGAGGAATCCTTGTGGTGATTGAAAGATGTTGGAAATTGGTTGACTAACATGAACCTTTCGAACCCAGACGCCTCGTTTGGCCCAGAAGTATCGAGCTATGGCTAGGATACCTTGCAAAAAAGATCTAGCTTAGTAATCTAGATATGTACACACATGTACACACATAACAATATGTATATATATATATATAGCTGAGCATTGCATTCCCTGATATTCCCTGAATTCTAGCTAAACCTCAACACAGCATCTGATAGTCCCATGCCCCTTTTGTGGGAATCCTAATGGTAAATACCATGTAAATACCAAGGCCCCAAATTGGCAGGACCTGCCAGGTGGCACTCTTCCACCTCACAAGCCATGCAATCGAAACAGTTGGTCTCGTTCTCCATGAGGTTTGAGCAAGTGTCGTTCATCTCATCCTGCGGATATCTGCGGATTAAGAACGGCCCGGTGGGTCTAATTGGGATCTGGTTGAAATGGCAAATATCATGGATTATGAGTGGATTATCATGATAGATGATCAGATGACTCAGATGATCACTAATGTGGTAAAACCCTTACCATGTGGATCCATGTGGCAATGATGGTTACCCCCCATCCATGGTGATTTTGGGCATGATTTGTGCCTCCAAAGATCTGGAAATCCTCAGGGAAATCCCCGAGTTCCTGGTGAACCCCGCTGGAAAACCCTCAGAAATCCCACCTCAGTCAGCAGGGTGCAAACACTATCTCCAGATCCAGCAGCATTACCGTGGCCATATGTTCCCCAGCGCCGCCGCGAACCGGATAGAATCATGGCAGCTGCCACGTAGCCGGTGGTGGAGGAATAGGTCGTCCTGGAAGCTACGACGCGGGCACCGCCACCTGGAGAGGGCATGGACACCCTGGGGATAAAGCATGATAAAACATCAGCGAAAATATCAGGGAAAGTTTCAAGCAACTCATTTTCCAAAGAAATGCAAGCATGAAGCACATTAGGATGTCCGAAACTGGAAATTGGCATTTAAACCTACCTGACGTAAAATACCGATGTTTGATTGGTTGGCTGGATTGCTTGACATCCGCTTGAAATTCATCACATCACATCGCGACATCGCAGCCTGTACTCGAGGTTCCCCTGCCACTAGATCCAGTTCCGCCCTTGCCACAGCAGCATCGCACGAGAGCCAGGGTCAGCAGTCCACGCGTCAGGCACCATGAAATTCGAACCATGGCGTCGAAGTTGTCAGCTGGAGCCACAAGGTCAGAAGTTAACTATGGATCTACCCTCTGGTAATTTAACAGCTATTGAAAATGGACCATTTATAGTTGATTTACCCACTAAAAATGGTGATTTTCAACAGCTATGTTAGTTTACCAGAGGGTAACCGTTACTGCAATCTAACCCTGGTAAGCTGGCGCAGGCTAGATAATCTTCATCCATGTTCATCCCCAAACTCCCCTTTTGGCCAGCAAGGCCAGCACCAAGATCTGCCAAGCAACCCCATCCTCTGTCGGGATGAAAGCGAGTTACCTGACGCGAGGCGACCACCCAACTGACACACAGCACCGAGAGATACCGAGAGTAATTTGGATAGCCGCGGATAGCCACCAGGGATCGTGATCTTGAGATCAAGATCATGAGATGCCAATGGATATCTCACTGATATCCGGATTAGCTACTAACTTTTACTTGATGCTTCACAAGAATCGCAAGGGGGTTCGTTCACCCCAGTTATAACTGGACCGCTGGCTACCATGAAGCCAAACGCACTGGGCATCTTGATAGGGCACATGATGTGGCTTGGCTATACATCACCGCCTGTAGGAAATAACATATATACCCTCCGGTCATCAAACGTGGCATTAGAAAATGCCATATAAATATGGAAGTTTCGATGGGAAAAGTCACTTATAAACATTATGAATGTTGGGTGACTATTATAATATTACCATATTAATTGAAATGTCATCATAATGATAATGATTATTATAATAAATAAAATCACCATACAAATGTTGGATTTGTCCGTTGCCATGTTTGATTTCCAAAGGGTACCAGCACCGAGCCACTCTCCCGCTATATCTCCTCCTGGGGTCGGCTTCAAAGAGTGCCATGGCGGGCGTCGACATGGTCGCGTATGTGTACGCAAAAAAAAAACAACAGCCGACTTCAGTGAGAATCACAAAAGCTATGCAGCTGGTTTGGGTGTATAATTCTGTGTTTATATATGTATACCAATAGAAACATAAATAAATTAAATAAATAAAATTAAATAAATAAGTACATAAACAAATATATAGATAGATATACATATAAATATTAATATAAATAAATATATATATATATATGCATATACATATGTGTTATATGTGTATATATATAATTATATATATATACATAAAATGTCTGTATAGCTACTGCTGCTGAGTACGCTCGTGGTCGCTTCCCCCACAGAAGTTCAGCCTTTTCCAAGCGATTCTTCGACTCATTGAACGATGAAGAAATTGTGTCCGACTCAGGCGGAAGTTACAGGGACTGTTCTATGGGATCATTAGAATTAGAATCATTACCCCTATTGCTGGCAAATGATTCATAAGCAGCACGACCAACTATTTGCATCTAGTTGCCATGTTTTTCACATCATCAGGCGATATGCCCTGAAGACAACCATTTCTTGTCAACTGCAAGGCTCAGCAAGTTGTCTTTGCTACATCCCAAGCTGCAGGACTTGACAATCAAGTTCAAGGCTTAAAACATATGAGGAGGCCATGAAAACCTACAGATTGCCAATCTTAGGTACACCCGCACAAGAAATAGCTGTTTAGTAAGTATCCCCATGGCCCCATGTCAAACGAAAGATTGAACTTTATAACACATTATTACGATAGTGAAATACCCATCCAAGGTTGACACAGCCCATGTAACCAGGGACGCTGCTTGTGGGGTCCAAAAATGGTAGTAGTACAGTTCCCTACTTCAATGCCATCTGAATGGGAAAACATGAGAAAACTATAGAAAACACATGACCATGCAGCCATGCACTAGATTTTGGGGAACCCTATTTTTGGACAATCGATTTTGGGAAACTGTGGGATGGCCCAAGGATTCATATTGTGACACGGCTTACGGGCAACTTCTATGAAACGATGGAAAAAACAAAAAGAACTAAAAACAGCAAAAACAAATCCCCCCCCAAAAAAAGCAAAACCTAATCCAAACCTAAATTAGAAAAAAGCAAAAAAAAAGCAAAAAAGCGCAAAATCAGAACAGCTCAAAATAAAAATCAAAACAAAAAGCAAAAACAAGCAAAACCAAAAGCACACAAACCATGTTTTCGTTTTTTATTTTTCATAATTTTTTGATTGTTTTTCACTTTTTTTTGTCGCTTTTGTTTTCGCTTGTTTTTCGCGTTTCTTTTCCGCTTGTTTATAAATCATTTATAGATGGAAACTGGAGACTTGGCATTTCATCTAACACAGTGGATATCACAACAGCTTGCTGAACCTGAGCATCAGGGCTACTTGCCAAGTAATTTGGTCTTGCGGTCTCCAAAGCAGCACATGAAAAATGCATGAAACTCCATGAAAAATCCTGGAAGCTGAACAAATTCCTCATCATAGCGCAGCTACACAGCTACAAAAGCGCATCTTATGGATCCTTCCCCCCGCCCCCCTATGGTGGGTCACTTCTTGCACTGAGGTGACCTTGGCGAAGCGTTGGGGCCGTAGGATCCCTTCGCTAACCGTATCCAAGCTCAATATTTCAAGTACCCCTTCAGAAACTATCATGATGTTTGCCCAAACATGTTCATCACTTTGAATCATATTCCGACTCATGGTTTGAAACAGTAGTCCGCCAATCATCAACATACCACTGATGAGATCTCAGGATGCTTGATTGGCCAAACAAGGATCCTAACGTTTGACGCAAAAATGATCCATTCAAACTGGGTGAAACCATATCAACGGAGACCACTCCCAGGTCGCAGCCGCAGCTGGATTCAAGTTAAGATTCGAAGCAAATCTAAAGGCTCGCAAAATCTTGTGACTTCCAGGGCTATACGAGGCTATACGAGGCTATACTGCCTCGGTGTATGCTATATATAATATTTAAATATATATATATATATCATGGTATATCCATACTATCCATTCAAATTGTTCTGTCTCTCCCAAAGGCCTGAGTGTTGGCTAGGGCCATGCACTCGAGGCAGGAACAGGGCCACTTGTGGCCTGGTTGCGAGCTACGTGCAGTGCCAAGCTTGAACCACACTGAGATGAATCAGTTTCAGAGGTAATCAATGGTAATCATAAAAAATGCCTGGAAGACACATCTATAGAAAAATGATGAAAGATGTACATCCATACGCAAGCCAAATTTATATGAAATATCACATCAACTCCCAGAAACTTAGATATTAACTTATAATAATATATTTCTGGCTATATAAATTTTAATATCTATATATACCCTCTGGTAAACGTTTACATAGCTATTGAAAATGGCCATAGAAATAGTGGATAATTACCCATTATATAAACATGGTGGATCTTTCCATATTTTTTCTATGTTACCAGAGGCTAGATTAATGCACTTCCAAACATCTATAAACTATGTTATGGTAGATTATGAGGTTTGGTTAAACGTTAGTTTACCAGATGAAGTTACCCTCTGGTGAACTAACATAACTATGGAACATCACCATTTTTAATGGGAAAACTCACTATAAATGGCCATTTTCAATAGCTACGTTAAATTACCAGAGGGTCATGCACTTCCAAACCTCATTCATCCCATAGCTACGCCAGCTTCATCGTCTTCCATTCCCTGGGCGTTTCCGGCGCCACTTGGACCGCATGGGACAGGAGCTCCGCCGCATCCAAGCCCTGTCGGTACCGTCTGGTTACGACTAACATAGCCATGGAAAATCCACCCATGTTTAAGAACGGTAAACCATCTATTTCTATGGGCCATCTATACCATGGCTATGTTAAATAACCAGAGGGTAAATATTCCATTAAATACATGGAGCATCTGGGAATGATAGAAACATTTTCATCCCCAAAAGATTTACTCTGTGATCGACAGCACCATTGGATTCGCACATGTCTGCAATGCTTGGCTCTGCCCGTGACATTTGAGGAGCGCGCCTGCCCCAAGCGACGTACAGAAAAGCCATGCTCGACGATGCCCTGTGCTGATTGAATGTTGAAGCTGTGGTTGGGAAACTCTGGTAAACATGGCAACGGAACACTTTCTGAAAAGGTCACATTTCTGTGGGACCCTGCACCTGGTCAGCCCATGGCGGGGATAGCAGCACAGCATCTACCTCCCCGGTCTTGGATGAAGGGAAACATCGATTGTTATTGGTAAACCTCAGGATCCAGCAGTTCATCCTCGCAGCATCTAAAGAAATGATTTTACATTCACTAAATTCTACTCCAAACAGTACACAATTCATCGCACATCTCTGTGTTATGAACAAATCTTAATATTAATATATATATATATATTTACATATCAATATAATATATAAATATATATAAATATATTTATCCACATAAATGAGTATAGTTTTATTAAACATGTATGATATTGTATGGTCATATACCAGCGACGGCCTTCTGACGATAGAGCCGATGCCTGAGGCCGGCTGATCATCTGGTCTCTATTTTTTAAACATAAAAAATCACCATGGAACATGATATAAACAAAACTGTTCATGTATGGATGATGTACTTATTCTATCTTATTCTATCTTATTCTTACCTAAAATTATAAACATTCTGATCTTCCACAGTATAACATACATATATGCTCAATATGGTTAAATAACTACAGGTACCATACCCAGCTGGCAGAATGGAGCTGTAGGACATATCCAGTTTCCATAAGATTTCGATCCAGGAAGACAATGGCCATACGGAAACACTGACATTTGTACTTGAATGGTAAATGTCGGCAGTTCCTCTTGCAAAAAGGTCACTTCCGGCTTACCTCGAACTATTTGTTCCTGTCTATGTGGAAATTTTGGAAGCTTCTAGGAGTCTATATGCCAGCAAATGGCATAACATGCATAAACACAAATTGATTCTCAAGTAAATACAAAACAAATAAACACTTAAAAAAAACACAAGAAACATACAATTAATGTGTATGTAGATGCATCTCCGACAAATTGCAATCACAAATGCGTAGGCATCATATGTATGATCGCACCATCCAGCTG